AAGTCTTGCTTGTCTCCGGGTGTTGGCCCAGAAATTAACCAGCCTTAAACGGCAAAAAGGGACAATTACTTTATTTGCGCACTCAAATTATGCTGATTTATGGAACGGACAATGCACAATGCTGTCCCCATCCCATCTTATTGCGTCCATCCCAAATGATAATTGCACTAAAATGCAGATTTTTCATGCACTCGGAAAATAAATGTTGACTAAGTTATATAAAACTAAAAAGTATTGATAGGAGTAAATATGGAAAATGTGGACAAATTTTAAATTAATTTATACTTGATCTAAATAAAGAGTTCCAGGTTCAAACATAAAACATAATTGATTTGAATCAAATGTTAGAGATGGAACATTATAGAATATAAGAAAAAGTTTCTATTACTATATATTAATCAGTAAAAACGTTGAACTAATTTGTGGCCTGGTTTTTTTTCTGTATTAAAGAGTGAATGTTATTCCGAGTGTTCATATATATTTCCATGCACTTGCATCTGAGGTCCAGTTCGGGGCAGACCTTGGCTGAATTTTGACTGCCAGCCGGCAAAAGATAAACAGCGACAGTTTTTCTCCCGATAAAAGAGAATGGTTATGGAGTGGGTGCGAATGGGGTGATGGGAGGATGTGGGCTGGGAACCTTGTTGCCTTGTCTGCCAAACTCATTAAAACGAATCTTTTTTAATGGCCAAAAGTTTGCCTGGTTGCTGCCATAATCAGTAAAATTAAGGCCATGGCAGCTGAAAACTGTTTGCTGCCTGCCAATGTCGTTAGCGTTGGTTCACAAAAAATTCTGGCAAACATAAAGAGCTCTGGTGAAAAAGTTTTAAACTATGCTACTGATTTCATTTGTATCTATTGATTGCTTAAAAAAAACAAACAACATTATAGACTCATTTTTTCCTTGTGGTCATTTTCCCATAAAGTTTGTTAACAATGGATAAAGAAATTGGATTTCTTTAAAATTTTTCAATAGTTCTTAGTTTATATGATGTAACTTGTTCTGTTTCCTTTGGTTTGCAGAGCAATCATAAAAGCTGTGTTATATTAAAAAAATAATTCTTTTGAAGGTAAATTACCCTACGTCCAGAGTACAATTTTCCTAAATAAACTGTTTAGTTTTTAATTTGGAGAGTCAGTTCTTTCCCTTTACCTTCTTATTGGGAATTCAATATTCGCTGGCAGTGGCTTAAAGGCGACAACTTGTGTGTCAATCGCGCAAAGGCAACGCGACCAGCAACTAACAACTTACTTAAGCCAACAACTGCAGGGGAAGCACTCGCACAAGAAGGCGATAGATGACGCAGGCATTGCCATTGCCATGTCACACTCGAAAAGACCGAAAAGGCAGTCCCACATAAACGTGCTCCGGCGGCTGGAGAGTGTTTTGGGTCCTCTAGTCCCCTCCGCACGCTTCTTACACCCTGAACACCCCTGGAAGTCCCTGCACGTGGCCATCGGGCTGCACTCTTGTGCACTAATTACGAAAACTCAGCACGTTTTGCCATCGCATGGCTCTGCTTTTGGCCGGGCTGTCTGGCAGCTTGGCTGCTGCCTCCTGCCTGTTTGCTGCTAGCTGTTGGCTCTTTTGGCCAGGCCGAGTGGTTAAATGCTGTGGGGAGCTGTGCTGCAGTAATAGCAGCAACATGCAACGCGACAGTTGCCTACACCCAGGGGAACATCGTAAAACACGGTGAAAAAAACATACAGACCACATATTTCTACTTTTACATTTTGAAATCATATTCATTAAAATTATAACTATACAATAAGAGTGGCTAAAAATCAAAAGCGTTTAAAGTAAATAGCTTCTAGGATATACAAAACTCAAAAATCTTCCTTTTTGTATTCACTTTTGTTTCAGTAACCTTTAACCAAATGAAACAACCAAGCTAATAATAACTTTTATATATTTCGTTGAAAACCCATAAATTCTCTGATTAGGAAGTGTAAATTAAATTATTTGGATCGGTCAAAAAAATGGTTTTAGAAATAGTTATATTTATTAATTTGCTTCTCATTGTGTAAAACCAGCAGCAACTGTGGTGGCGGTGGTGGCGTTGCTTCTGCAAAAGTTAAAAACATTGCGGCAAGCAATAAAATCAACATTGGTTTCGGTGTTGGCTTTGACTCAGCCCCAGCGGAGTCTTCCACTTACCGCCCTGCCGCCCTTCTGTCCCGCCCCCTCGGAGGTCCGTTGTGCAACTGTATTACTGATGAGCTTCAAAATGTGCTTGGCGTGCCACAATTTTACCAAAGTCAATGTCTGAGGCTGCCACCGGACGGACCCACTGGTCGGAAAAAGCCGCCCGGTATAAGTAGGGGGTAAGCCGAAGAACCTAGTTCTGCTGCACGTGGCAGCTAAAATGAGCTATGCAGCGCATCGGTATAAATTATTGTCATGACTTTTTCATATATAAATAAGCTCTTTTAAATATGATTATCAAATTGTCCCATTAAATTAAGTATAAAATAAGTACTCTTGAGCTATATAAGTATTATAAAATACGAGAACGGAAAGAGAACTTCTTGAAGCCTACGTTTAATACTTTTGCACTCTACGAATGGATATATAACCTTTATGTAAGGCAAAAGAAAAACGATTTAGAGGTACGCATAGTTCTTAGAAAACAACCTTTTTTGATAGGAAAAATTCACTTTCACACACGTAAAGTATACCAGGTAGTAGTTTTTACGTCTGATAAGTTCGACCAAATTTTAAGGTAAAGGTTCTTAATACAAAAAAAACATATTTTAGGGCAAAAATCAGCGATAATTAAGACAAAACAGAGAAATCTTAAATTTTGACCATATTGTTCCTCCTTTTTAAGCAATTTCTTTACACAGTTGAAAGGTGTTTACCATGACAGTTTTATGTTAATGTTTTTAGAGCTTTAATTCTTCACTGACTTTAATCCCACAATTTAGTACACATTGTGTATCCCTAATTCGGTAAAATCTTGAAACCCTTATATAGCGATACCTTTAGCGCTTAACCGAAACCGAGGTTTGGTCAACTACATATTTGCAATCTTTACGTCGGCAACATGGCTATAAAAATAAATTACACACAGCTTAAAACTTATGTAGGGTAGAAAGAAAAATGGCTTATAGACGCGCAATGCAACCAAAAAAGCACCTCACCGAATTGAGAGGTATAACAAAATGACCAATCGACCTCGGGCCCCAAAGGAGGAAATCCCGGGAAGTTAGAGTGATGAACGTTATTGCTCTTTTGCTGTGCTGCTCAGTTGAAGTGATTCGCCCACACACACAAAATCGCACACATCAATACACATTCAGGGGGTGGGTTGGCCAACGGTAAAGGTAAAGCTGCAAGCCGACAATGAAGACATTAACAAGACCAACGACAACAGCCAACGACAAAACTCTCCGTGCCCCATAGCTCATCACATTAATCTTCTTAATACGCCCATCAATAATTCAAAGCCAAAGGCATGACCAACTGGACAAAACCGGCAGTCGACAGCCGATAGCCGATAGCCCACGACCACCTAAAGCCCAAAAACCCAAAGCCCGAAAACCGACAACTTGGGCAAGTGAAGAAGTCGCATTCGACACGCAACCATATATATCCAGCAGACCCAAGTGCTGAGTGAATTATGACGCACTATATACGATTCACGTTCGATTCTTTTCGCCTGAAGTGGCCACCTTCGAAAACAGTTTGTCGTCCATCAAATGCAAACTATAACATACAAATATTGAACTCTACCATCGCCTGACAGTGAAACCTTATGGCTCGTTGGCATTTGATTTACGCCCCAAAGGGTGTTCAAAGCCCCCACCCACTGCTATAGTGCAAACGGATAGAAAGAGTGGTATTAAATACTTTTGAATGCTACATTAAATTGGTTTTGAAAACCCCCACACAATTACATTCTGGCTACGTCACTGCCCCAAAGTGTGCAAGACTCATAAACAAAATAAACAATTATGAAAACCCCATATTCTATATTTTATTGTTTCAAATGCTGATAATCTCGGCTTAGATTTGAACTATTGCTGTTTGTTCCTCCATTAATACAAGAAATAGAAATTGCAAAAAACAGTATACTGATAGTGATTTGAACTGTTTGATATAACATTTACGCTCAAAAACAATATTAGAGAAATTAAAATTTGCAAATTTTGGTATAATTGCTTGTTGAATTAATTTAAGCAACACATTCTTTATTTGATTAAATCGATTAAAAAACGGTTATTTAATTTGTTTTGTATTAGAAACTTTCTGGTTAATATAAAGCGATTGGGAATTATTAACACAAAATGTTAAAGCAGAATTATTTAGCTTATCAAACACAGGTTAAAAAGATTCAGTGGCAAGTTTATAGTCATCACATATATTTCAGTATAGGAAGTAAGAGCGCATTTCTGTTTTTCTTCCACTGAACTTTTTGCGCCCACATTTCACATCTTGTAACTATCGAAAATTGCGAACGTTGTATATGAATGACATATGCTGAACGCACAAAAGCGCTGGCATTGTGCTCCTGCAACTGACAGGCGCCCCCAAACCCAGTGGCAATCCTCGGGTCCATTGTTGGACCTGGACAATGCCAAAAGTGCCACCGGCTCCGCCGAACCACCTGCAGCTGCCTCCCCACCTATTTCTCCCCCGACAATTTGATGTCAGTTGCTTCATTCGAAATTTTTCTGTTGCCATTCGACATTGCCATCTCGCCATTGCAGGTTTTTCACGCCTACTTCGGCGCTCAGTCGACCCCATGGAAATGGCCTTTGTTGCGTTGCTCTGCCGTGAATTGTTGCCCGCTTCCTTTTGTTGATGAAGATAGGCATCCAGAGGGGCACATGTGTCAAGCCTTCGCTGCGCCTTCCATCTGACTGCTCCTTATCGACGCCGGCTTAAACGCCACTAATTGTGTCAAAGGTTCGTCATGGCCGCGATAAAGGCTGCCCAAATGTGTTCGTCGGCGGCTATAAAAGCAGCAGCCGGCTGCCGAAAAATTTAGTTTGCTCATCTACAAAGTGAAGACAAAAAAATAAGTAAGAGGTGGATAAGAATGTGCTTTTATTTTTCGGCGTATTTAAGAAGTCCAAACATTATTTTGTGTCTTTAAACTTGGCTTACAAAAACTATTATAAAAATTAATTAAACGATTATGATACTGAGAAATTTAAATTCTATGTGAAATGTTAAATGCAAAAGCAGCGAGACATATTTTAAAGTGTATAAGTTTATTAAATATTTTGTGCCAAAAACCATTTTTTAAAAATCGTCATAACGATTTAAATAATTTATAATTATATCAACTTTAAAGACAATTGAATATATTTTTAATATCAAGTTAACAAAGTTATAACGATTATTTAAGCAAGTTAAGTACACTTAGAACAATCAAAGCCAAAATTTGGAGCACTAAAATACAAAGTTCTTGACTTAGATAGGTCAAGGAAAAAATTGAATAGGAATTATTTACAAAACAAAGTTAATCATGGCTCTTATCTGTCTAATTGAATAACGTAGCCACTATCAATCGAATTAATTTTATTTTGGAATGTCTCTCGACAAGAAAATACTCTGTAGAAAAATTTTCTAAAAAAGCTTGCTTTGACTTGCAGCCCAAAACCACCATGAACTTCTCCTGGCTCACCATCTTCATCCTGGCCATCATCGCCATGACTGTTTCGGCCAAGAACTGCCCAGCTCCGTTCAAGAAGGAAGGCAGGGACTGCACCGCAAAGCGCACCATTCGCGGAGAATGCCCACCTGGATCCCAATACAGACCCAATGTTAACCTGTGTGTTTACAACCACTAAACGAAATCAAAATAAAACCAACTCAGACAAAGTGATTTGATACATATACAACTATTTGAAAACCAAACTGTTTTGCTTGGCTGGCTTATCAGGGTAGTGTTATCATTGTGGGCCGCCAGTTCAGATCGGTAGAACTAGACCAAGGACGGGCTGATGGAATAATCATGGTATATAAGATTCGTTCCGGTTGCATCCGTTCGAATAGTTGCATTTTGTATTTTCCTAAGGTAAGTTGAGGCTGCCAGTCTTCCGTTCCCTACTAAGGTGTTTGTTTTTAGTGCAGAAATCGAAAAGGACTAAGTCTTCAATCATGCTCGTCAAATGCACTTGGCTTCTGCTTCTGGTCCTGTCCTTAATGGTGGGAGCCTTTGCCAGCAGTGGATGTCCTGCGGGATATAATGCTGAGGACAATCACTGCACCATACAGCGACCCATTCACGGATCCTGCCCTCCCGGATCCTCCTATAGCCTCAACATTAACAAGTGTGTCCACTCGTAAGGATCTCTTCGTAATAAATGTCTATTTTCAATGTTAAAATCAATGTGCAATCAAATATAATTTAATCGATGTGCAGCTTAGCGAAGTCTGTTTTTTAGAATGTGAATTGTCTGAAACTATTGAGAACAGCTGGAAGTATAAAGAGTTTTTGAAAAACAGTGAAACTATTTGTTTAAAAAATGAAATATACGTCCCACATTTTATACAAATAATTTGGGATTTAGAACGTTTAAATTTAATTATTTTAATTACGATTGAATCACGAATATGCCTTTTTTCAAATTAACATCTCAGCGACTTGGTGCTTTCAACTTTCGCCTTTAAGCGAGTGCCATTTTCGAATCAGCCTCACTTTGTGCCAATTATGTTTGGCTTTATGTGCCGGCCATGGGAAGTTCAACAAGTGTTGCGGCGAAAATGGGCATTAGAGAGGGGACCCAAACTGATGGGTAGGCCTGGTGCTGATGATGATGGTGAATGACGTCGTCGCCAGGCGGACACGATGCCCATTAGTTTATTACCATGTAATTGACTCAACGCTTGTCAGCTTTCAGCGGCGATGACTCCTGCGGCTTTAATGTGCTGCATTTAATTCCCAGGCCAACACCAGCGAAAACAGCACAGCACAACACAACGCCATTGCCAGCGACAGCACGTCAAAGTCAAAGCGGTCTGTCTGGCCAACTGTCGGAGCGTCGTACTATATGTATTGTATACGTCTGTCTATCTCAGACCGTCCGCGATTAGCTTGATTGGCCTGCCCGTCCGCACCTTTGGCCTCCCCCTTATCGGGGGCCTCTGTTTCGTAAGACTCGTCGGTTTCGGATTGAATCGTCTCACAATCGCCTAACACCGCCTGCTATAAAATTCATTAAAAACTTTGCCAACCGAGTCTGCCTTAAAACACCCAAAAAACGTCGGCGAAGACATAAAAACGTAGAAAACATTTAACAGTGGCAAAAACTTTGGCAAGTCCAAGCTGTCGACAGGATGTGCAGCAAACCCAATTGCATATGCCAATGTAACAAAGTTTTCAACGGCAAAATGTCCCACGCCACACCAGTGATGGCACTACTACTGCCTCAAGGTCCTTTGTAAGGGCAAGAAATTGTCAGGAAATTATAAAAGGCATGAACAATCAGTACATTAAAATCGGTATAAATAAAATAATCTCTACACAGTGTGTGCTAAGAACGTTTACAAAAATAAAACATTTTTAAATATTAATTTAAAAACTTATGCATTTATTAACTTGTTTTGAAAGCATTCAACTCATTTCGCTTAAAGTAATTTTTAAAAATAATAAATAAATAAAAACAAAAGAGTTTGCTTAATAATTAAATCAACTTAATGATTAGTAATTTTTAGCAACAATTAAAAGCTTTCTTATATATTTTTTAATCATATTTTCAGATTTTAATAAGACACTAAAAACATTTATTAATATTGGTCGAAATTATCGATTTTTAGTAGAAGCTTAAATAAATATAGCCAAACTATCAACACTGCAGGCGCTGCGCGTCCATAAACTAAACGTCCTTGTCACTGGGGCTTGTAAATTTCTATGACTTGCATAAAAAAGGGCTCTCCCCAGAACGCCTTCCGCTGCTCTGGGTTTCCTTTTGGTCTAAAAGTTTCCTGTAGCAAAAGTCGGCCAGCCGGACAGCGGACAGCGGACAACGACAACGACAGGAAATAAGGAAATGTCCTCAGTCGTATTTGCTGCCTCGGCAGCGACATTTATCAGTCAGTTGTTGCAATGTCCTTTGGGCCGATGGCTTGGAGTTTTGGGTGGCAGGTTGGGGAGCGGAATTTTCTTGTTGGACAATTTTTAAAAGGAGTCTCAAGTGCCTGCCGCCCGCAGCCTTTCAGCTGACAGCAATCGCTGCAGTTTGCTACAGTTGCCGCATATAGAATATAGTATCTGGTATCTCCGGAAAGTTGCCTCGGCAAACTCTCGCGCAAATATGATGAACGTAAGCAGTAAAGTTCTGGCCAACTGATAGCCGAACGCTGCTACTTGGCCATCTTATAAACACAAGCTGGCCCTAAAAAACTTTCGCAGCCCAGCAAGAGGACTTTCCTCTGGTGACGGCTCAACTTTATGGGCAGCCACATCGTTGCGGCTTGGCTGCATTTCAAGAATGCTGCAGTTTGAGCACACGGCAAAAATAATGTATTACCATAATTATTTCGAGAATATACTATATATCACATCATATTTTCAGTTACGTTTTAACAAGATCACAACATTTTACAGACGTCTTTCATTTTACCCTTGATTCAGTGCTGACAATTTGACCAATTTCGGACCAACTTTGTCTTAAATAATTAGATTTCTGTGCATTTTTTTTACCATTTCTTTGCAGTATTTTAATTTTAATTTCCATTTTTCTCGTAAAGGTAATTAATTCATTTAAAGCAACTAAATACATTTAACAGCAATTTCAAAAGTCAAAACTAATAATTATATATGTATGCACTTTGACGTGTTATCAGCAACTAAACAGACACTTGCCTCGGAGTTGATGTCTTTGTTTTGGGATCAAGTGAATAAACATATTATTTGTTAATTATGCGATACAACATTGGGAAACTCCCTCCATATCTGTTGTCTTAAGCTAACCATGCACTTTGCCTCGGACTCAATAGCATTGTTTTAGGATCAGGTCTAGGTGGGCTGGACAATGAAACTAATCAGTTGAAGACATATCGGTCGCATGAATCGAAACAATGTCCTCGATTTCAAAGCAATGTGTCTGCAGTGGCTATGATAACATAAGTGGGCAGAGGGAATTGCAAATCCGGAACAATATGTGGTAAATACTTCTTTGCTTGAGCTAAAATGTTAGATATATGGAAGTGAAATTGCTTTACTTTTTTTAAGTGTACTGCTCACTGTTCTTATCTCATTGGGGCATTGTCCACCCCTCCCCAGCGCCCATTGGTAAAAACGAAAGTGTGGCCATAATTTTTGAGCTGGCCCTGCCTGGGTGTGTTGCTGTTGTGGTCGGTGCTCCGAGGTTTCTGGCTAAAACTTTCTCGTTATTGATGCTGCTGTCAGAAAAGAAGTGCTGACGAGGCTCACCGAAGGCGCCCCAAAAACGGAGGCCACTTTCGCAATAGTTTTAATCCACACTTACAGGCTTTTTATGACGTCCGTCCGGCTTAATTGTTCGGCGTTTGAAGTGATAATGGATGCGGCAGAGTCCTCTATAATTACTGCAACATTCTACTAATGAGATGATGGCCGTCGAAATGCACTGCTTTTAACGTCAGTTATCAAATTTAATAATCCGTTAAATTGTTTGTTTACTATTACTTTTAATTAGTAATCAAATGTGTTTGCTTATCTAAACTTTTGCTAAATCGCTGTTTACGCGGCTTAAATGTTGTAATATGTAAAATATGTGGCAACCAAAAAAGTGTTATTTGGGGATTAGAAATTTACCTTTGATTATTATTTGATTACTCACTCTAATCTTCCCGATTGTTGGCTAATATGAGAAAAGTATTAAATTGAATTAGGGAGGTAGTACTTTAATTAGAGGTATACAAAGCTTTGGGTACTAAAAACTTTATAATGCCTTATCTTATTTTTTTTTTTTTTTACTTTGGTAATAGGTTTTTAAGTTTTAAAGTGTAACTAAGTTTATTATTTTTTTAATTGCAGCTGATTAATATTTGCTGATATTAAGGAAATAAATCTTTTTGTTAAATAATATTTTTTTAAGGAATTTGTTTCCATCCAACACAGTGCCGTACCCTGTTATAACAAAGTATTCCTGTAAGCCTTTCGGCCATGTTTGTCTGCTAGTCTTGTGCGTGCTCGCAACTTTTATCCAAAAACTAAAAACAAGATGGCGGTTTCCGGTCCGCCCTTGTGTGTGTGCCCCATAGGCATAAAAACTTTAATTTGAGTTATTTGCAGGAGTAGTACTCATAGTTAAAATTATAATATAATTCTAGGAGCAGGGCAAAAACAAGAACTTTATCAGCGACAGTGGGGACATTGCTCCTTTCTCCCTCTTTTCATCTGTTTTTGTCCCACTTCCTCATGCTCTATTTATCTGCCTGAAATGCTTTTAATGTGAAACTTCAAACCGTAAAACGAAAACTAAATCGGGAGTTGGAACATATGCTCCATGAATGCAAAAGCGTTGTCTATGCATGTGGCTCGGTTTTTGTGTGCTTACGTGTGTGCAAACGTATGAGTGTGCGGTTTTGTGGGCCAAAGTTTTGCCAGCCAACAAGAACAACATGGGCAATAAGCGGAGCGGTAAAATTTCGCCAACTACGCGACGCAAATATTCGCCAGATGAATATTGAAACGTTGCACTTTCCGCCACCTGAACGAAGTTGGCGGAAAATATTGAGTTGGCTGTCAACAACTTGGCCAATGACAGCAGCATAAATGCTCGAGCAATATGTTTGGACTTTAATTTTAAATTCTTCGGGGAGAATCTTTTAAGAACAGAATCAAGCCTTTGGTAACATATGCCTATAAACGAGAATTCGGTTTGTTGACATAGTTAATCTGTGATTTTAGTATAAAGTTTCTCCCAACCTCGAAAAGCTAAAATGTTTATTTGGCTTGATCTTCTGACAAAAATGTAAAAACTTTTGTATACTTAAAAAAAATGGTTTCAAATTGGAATTTAAAAATAAACTGCATTGTTTATGTTAATCAACATTAGGTATGTGTTTATACTACAAAAACGGTTGTACATTGTAAAAGATGTGATGCCAAATAACGCTGAGTTTGATGTCAGTTTCTTTCTTTTTCCAATCTTAGAATTTCGTGGTCATCAACACAGTTATTAGTTATTATCTTACTTAGCTTTGAGCCAATGTTATTATCACCTTTATCCTCCTGAAGCTGCCAGACATTGTTCTGGCAATTACATACTACTATTAACTGGGGTTGAGCTGCGCTTTTTGGCCACGTTAAAATGTTATTTATACCTCAAGGTTATAGCAGCATTCAGTGAGACAATGTAACCTCTGCCCTTGGTCAACTTAGTCCCCAATCCGCCAGATCACCAGCAGCTGGCATTTAATTGCTTTTCTGTTATTTTAT